CCTCCTTCCTTCTCTGCCCCTTCAGACACCGTGAACTGAGCCCAGGGCAGAGGCAGCGAGCTGGGGGAGCCTGGGTGGGATCAGTGTGGGCACTGGGACCTTTCTCCTCTCTGCTTTGGGGCCAGCAGCTCCTTCCCTCCCCGAGGGGATTCATTTGTCCATTTGGAATTGCAGCTCCTCAGGGAAATCCTCAGCTCCCACCTCCAGGGGATTAGAGCGGCCGCAGGGCCAAATCCCCATTCATTACCCGGGTTAGGCTGGGTAAATAAATCCTGTTAAGCCATTGGGGCCACGCCGGGCTTACCCGGACAGAAACGGCAGTGCTATAAATAAGGGCTGGCTTTGATTAGGGAAATAAAGGCAGGAAAAAAGCACTTAAAAGATATCCAGAGGAAATATAAGCTCTCCCCCCCAGCCATGCTGCCAGTGATGAATTAGTCCACGAATGCCAGTCAGAGAGTGAGTCATGATTCATAAATAAATTACAACAGATATTCATAGAATCATAGAATACCCTGAGCTGGGAGGGACCCACAGGGATCACCAATCCAGCTCCTGGCCCTGCACAGGATGACCCAAAATCTGAGGAAATACCTTGGAAACAGGAAATACCTATTTAATCTGGGACATTTGTGGCCTGAAATGCCACTAAACACTCGATATTCAGAGTAACTCAGTGACCCTGTATCAAGCACATATATTTACTGTAGGTGATAGAGCTGATTCCTGGCAGTGTCCAGTCAAGCCTTGTTGGAGACAAACTGCTTTGGAGAAGCAGCTAAGGGGGTTTTACAGCCCCTGGGACAGGCATGGCAGTGGCAGTGGGTGCTGCCTGCGCCAGGTGAGCTGTGCCCTCCTGAGGATGCTCATCGGTGAGATAATGGCCTTTCCTCCCTTTCTCTCAGAGCAAGGCTGCCTTTGCAGTGCTTTGCAGCTGAACAGTTTCCTGGTGCTCAGAAATGAGAGCTGGGAAGGGAGCTCAGAGCCTCGGCGTTGCTGTTTCACCCCGTCCTGCCTCCCCCAGCCCTGCTGCGCTGAGACGCAAAATTATCAGCGGAAGAGTTTATAAAATGTCAAAACAGTTTCTCTGCTGTCAGCCAGACAATTTGTGCAAATGGAGCCTCTCTACAGAGCCTCCTTTCATCTCCCCAGGATTCACTGTATGCCATTTCCATGGAGTTTTAAACCAGTCTGTAAGGAGGAGCGAGGATGGAAAGTGTGTGCTGTGCAGAGGGGTCCTGGACCTGCTGACATTGGCAGGGCTGGGCAGGGGCTGTGGGACACAAAGCCAGGTGATTTCCTCCCCTCACATGCAGGAGGTGGCTCTGCACGGCTCTGCACGGCTCTGCACAGTTCTGCACGGCTCTGCATGGCTCTGCACGGCTCTGCACAGTTCTGCACGGCTCTGCACAGTTCTGCATGGCTCTGCACGGCTCTGCACAGTTCTGCACAGCTCTGCATGGCTCTGAATGGCTCTGCACGGCTCTGCACAGTTCTGCACGGCTCTGCACGGCTCTGCATGGCTCTGAATGGTTCTGCACAGCCCTGCACGGCTCTGCACGGCTCTGCACAGTTCTGCACGGCTCTGCACGGCTCTGCACGGCTCTGCACAGTTCTGCACAGCTCTGCACGGCTCTTCATGGCTCTGAATGGTTCTGCACAGTTCTGCACGGCTCTGCACGGCTCTGCACAGTTCTGCACAGCTCTGCACAGCTCTGCACGGCTCTGCATGGCTCTGAATGGTTCTGCACGGCTCTGCATGGCTCTGCAGGGCTCTGCCCCAGGCTGGGAGGGCAGCTCTGGGAACGGAACATTCCAGGCAGTCCCCAGTGAGCCCGGGCACCCTCCTGTCCCTGCCAGCCCCAGTGAGCCAGGGCTGCCCCCTGTCCTGGGAGGGAAGGGCAGGATAACCCTGGCACGCTGCTGCTCCCTAGGCTGGCACGGATCTGCCTGTGCAGAGAGGGGCTGGCATCAAACAGGGCCCTGTGCCAGCCCAGCCCACGGCCACACCCCGAGAGAACCCTAAAAACTCCAGTTACAGTGCAGTTAACTTTAAAACACCCCAAAATGTGAATAGTGCCAGCCCCTGTCCTGCACCCCGGCCCTGTTAGCAGCCATGGGGAGCAGGGTGGGACCCCTCCCAGCAAAGGCACTGGGCCGTGCTGGGACCCCTCCCAGCAAAGGCACTGGGCTGTACTGGGAGCCCTCCCAGCAAAGGCACTGGGCCGTGCTGGGACCCCTCCCAGCAAAGGCACTGGGCTGTACTGGGAGCCCTCCCAGCAAAGGCACTGGGCCGTGCTGGTTCGGCAGCCCCAGCTCCTCCCACAGGGACTCAGCAGCACCAGCAAACTCCGCTCCCTCCAGCTCTGGGGCTTTGGGACCAAATCCTGCAGAGAACCGAGCCCAGCACGGCTCAAGCTCAGGGAATGGGATGTGGAGGGGAAGAGCTTTCCAGATCTGATTCTCCTCTGACAATTTGCTCTTGACAGCAGCTGAAATCATCTTTGGAACCAGCCCTGCGTTCTGAGGACAGTGAACTCTGCCTTTCAGCACAGCTCTGTGTGCCAGAGGAAGGTTCCTTCAGGTTTGTGCAGCTGTGAGAAAAACCAGCAGCGGTTTTCCAACCCCACTGTGCCCCCGTTGGAGGGGAAATGGATGAAATCCCAAATGGGGAGTTTCAGAGGGAAACCCAAAGGGTTCTGCTCCTGCCCAGCCCTTCCCAAGTTTGTGTAGACCAGATTAACCCCCCTTTTACCATGATGGGGAAACTGAGGCACAGTGACAGGACACTATCCCCCACGCCAGGCTCCATTCTCTCATTCTGTTCATAATCCAGCAGCCCACAGTGCCCCAGCTGGGACTCTGCCCCACACTCACATCCTCCCTCTGCTGCCTCCCGCTTCCTTCCAGGCAGGGAAGGGCCAGGACAGAGCTCACCACTCACCCTGCCTGGTTCAGGAGTTCCTTGGGGTTTTTCCCTATAAAGTAATCATTGAATTCTGAAATCCCGAAAAAACCTCCTGCACACCTCCTGGCACAGGAGCAGGAGCTGCTGGGATGTGAGCAAAGGGGGCACAGGTGTGCCAAGGCGGGGAGGCGGCTGTGGCTGGGACAGGCTGGCCCTGTGTGACTGGGGACCCCCGAGCCCCCCGTGCCAGGCAGGGCCCCTTGGGGGTCCCACCCTGGAGAGGCTGCCCTGCGCTCCCCCCAGTGCCCCAAACCCCCCCAGAACAAAGGCAGACTGGCTGTTGTTGACTCACAGGATAAGATCATTGTTGTGGGACATTTTTTTTTCCGTGTGTCACTTAGACATGATTTTTTTCCAGCGAATTTGTTCTCCTCCCCTCCACCCCCAGAGTGAAAAGGGAATCTGTGCTCAAAGCTGCAGCTGAGGTTGCAGAGACCTTCCCTTCCTGATCCTTATCTCACCAGGATGTAGGAGGATCCCTCGGGACGAGCTGGAAGCCTTTCGCTGGAGCCATCCAAGAACCGAGCGCAGCCTTTAAATGGCAAAACCATCGAGTGCTGAGGAACGGGGATCCGAGAGCTTTAACCCCATCTCAGGGTGACATCCCCGGCACTCTCCCGATCCCAACCTGCCCGGCACGGAGCCACCTCAGTGGATAACAAACACACCCCTTGGAACCCCGACCTTGGAGCCCCAACCTTGGAGCCCCAACCTTGGAGCCCCAACCTTGGAGCCCCAACCTGCCCCAAACCTCCGCCTGCTGCCCCAGGGATGCTGCGGCCCAGGGCACAGGGAGAGCCCTGCCCGTGCCGGGACAGCAGAGGGCACGGCTCATCCTCCTGCGGGGACACAGGAGCCACCGCGGCCGGGCTCTGTCAGGGTCAGCGCAGGAAACAGATGCTGCCTGCTGAGGAAGCACCTGAGCAGCATCAGAGCGCCTCGTGCCCGCCCCGGCAGGAACCTGGAGGGAACGGGGGGCGTGGGTGGAACCCCCGATCCGGCCCCAGCTGGGCTCGGGGGCATCGCCCTCGCACACAGTGTCCCCATGGAAAAGCACCTGCCTTGCAGGGAAGGGCACGGGCAGAGGCAGAGCTGTTAAATCCGGGCTGCAGGAACAGATCCGTGAGCCCTGGACAGGGGCTGCTCCATCCTCTGGCTCCAGCTCCGCCTGCCCCGTCCAGCTGGGACAGGGAGGAGCCTCTGCTCCAGCACCCGCCCTCTGCCTCAGCAACTTGCCTTTCTTTCTCGTTATCCTGCTCTGATTTGATTGGGAATTAATTTTTCCCCGGGTCAAGTCTGTTTTCCCCATGTTGGTAGCAGCAGAGTGACCTCTCCTGGTCCTTACCTTCACCCTTTGGTTTTCAAATGCAGCCCCATCAGCACCCCACAGCTGAGCTGCCTCAGTGTGACAGTGAGGGACAGATTCACTGCATCCCTGAGCTGCCTCAGAGTGACAGTGAGGGACAGATTCACTGCATCCCTGAGCTGCCTCAGAGTGACAGTGAGGGACATTCACTGCACTGATAAGTGGCCAAGCAGTGTGACAGTGAAGGACAGAGTCACTGCGCCCCTGAGCTGCCTCAGAGTGACAGTGAGGGACAGAGTCACTGCACTGATAAGTGCCCGAGCAGCACAGTGAGAACGAGATGAAGCTGCACTGATAAGTGGCCTCTTTGCAGCCAGCTGCTGTTGCCACTTTTGCACCTCCAAAGGGGCTTGAAAGAGGAACCTGTGGAAGGATTTCTCTATAAGTTGCTGGTAAGGACTGTGGGAGGACAGTTCTCCCTTCCACACGGCTTCCCAAGGCACCGTGCTGGCTCGAGGCTGCTGGAGGGATGCAGTGAGCTCCGGAGGGGTCTGCAGAGAGGGGAACAGCTCCCGGTGCTGAGATAGCAGCAGATATCCGATTTGCTGCCCGGGTGCTGAGGTCATGAGATAGCACAGAGGTGTGGGTGTCTGTCAGAGCCCGGAACGGCGAGCGCAGCCCGAGGATCCCAGCGTGGCCGTCGATGCTGCAGCTGCAGAGCCCGGGATGCCCAACAGCAGCCTGGCCCTGAGCGGCCTGGACGGGCTCTACATCGGCACCGAGTGCCTGCTGGCCCTGTGCGCCACGCTGGGCAACGCCCTGGTGATCTGGGCGGCGCGGCTGAACGCGGCTTTCCGCAACACCACGCTCTATTTCATCGCCTCCCTGGCGCTGGCCGACGCCGCCATGGGGCTGCTGGTGATGCCCCTGGCCATCGTGGTGAGCCTGGGCACGGCCATGCCCGCCTACGGCTGCCTCTTCGTGTGCTGCCTGATGCTGGTGTTCAGCAACGCCTCCATCCTGTCCCTGCTGGCCGTCGCCGTCGACAGGTACCTGCGCGTCAAGCTGCCCACCAGGTGAGGCTGCCAACCCCGGATCCTCTGCCCTCCTTCCCAGCCTCCCGTTACTGTGAAATGGATGCTTGTGCCTCAGAGCCCACCTGGGATGGGCTTTCCAGAGAGCTGGGGGTGCTCAAGGAGCAGTTTCTCGTGAGCTGGATAACCATCTCAGCTCTGTCATCCCCGATCAGAGTGCGGTCACAGGATGCATCTGTGGGCAGAGTGTTATATTTTCAGCACTTTTGGTAATTGCACAGGATGCTGAGTGTGTTATAGGGGTTTTTTTTAGGTTTCTGATGCTTGTCTTTTAAATAAAATTCCTTTTAGTATTTGCTGAAAACACAAAAGTGGTAACAAACTTATTAACAGTTAACTCAGTGTTAATTGGTCTCACTGTTTACATTTAAATGAAAAGTACACAAGCTGGAAAAGCAAAGCATAACCTCAAGCATCCAAGAAGTCATTTTTTTATAAAAATGGGAAAGGACCTGTGGAGCTGTAGAATTAATTTTAGCCCTACAAATGGCATAAGACAAATAAAAAGAGGAAAGTACACCCAAGGAAGCCAAGAAATGAGATAGGACTTCCAAGTGCAGCAAAGCAATATCCTGGCCAGAGGAGAACTAGGATCATAATGAAACAAGAAATAAAATAGGTTAAACATCCAATTTTAAACAGGGGAACTTTAGCACAGTTCCTACTGATGCTGCAAAGTCACTGCTTCAAATGAGGAGGTGGGGCTTGTGTCAAGATAAAATTTGGGTTCCTGCAGTACCTGAACAGGTGAGTTCATCCTTAATTACCTTGAAACGCTTCTCTTTAACATGACTGGGATTTCTTCCCCTCCAGATATAAAACAATCACCACAGAGAGGAGAGTGTGGTGGGCCCTGGGGCTGTGCTGGTGCCTGTCCCTGCTGGGAGGGCTGGTGCCCATGTTCGGCTGGAACAAGGCCGGCCCCAGGAGCTCCAGCTTCCTCCGCTGCAGGTTCATCTCCGTGATGAGGATGGATTACATGGTGTACTTCTGCTTCTTCCTGTGGACCCTCGTGCCCCTGCTCATCATGTGTGCTCTGTACGCCGAGGTCTTCTACATCCTCCGCACCAAGCTCAGCCAAGGAGTCAGAGGGGCTGGGGCTTTCTACGGCCACGAGTTCAGGACAGCCAAGTCTCTTGCCCTTGTCCTCCTCCTGTTTGCAATCTCCTGGCTGCCTCTGTGCACTATAAACTGTGTTTTCTATTTTCACCCTGACTCTCGGATCCCCCCATATTTGATTTACTTGGCGATCCTCTTATCCCATGCCAACTCTGTCATGAACCCCATTGTCTATGCCTACAAGATAAAGAAGTTCAGAACCACGTACCTTTTCATTTTAAGGACCTACATCCTGTGCAAAAAACCAGAGCCAGCTCTTGCAGAGCAAACAACAGACCCAGAGTCATAAACAGAGGCTGAAGCAGCCAGTGAGCACCAGGGCATTGATAAAGCACCTGGCTTTGCCAAGAAACTCCTGGGAAATGCAGCAACCTGTGGGTCTGAGGCTGCTCTACAGCTCCATGTGAATATATGCCTCTATGTAATATAATTTCTAAACACAGAAGATGGAAACTTTTTCTGATTGGGGGTTTTGGGTTTTTTTAACACAAGGATTGGATGAGTTGATTGAAAGATAGGATGTGTTCTTTGCTGTTCATAATCCAGCAGCTCACAAGCTCTCTGACCATTCTTGTCTGTCCATTCAGACTAAACTTGAGTCTGACCAGCTTGTGCTTCAGCCAGTGTTGTCACGTTTTCATGAGTAATAATAAACAGTAGATGGATTTTATATTAATTCTGCCTGCTGAGTCCTCCCATGACCAAAAAAACCCTGCCCAGTTCCAGTCGATGTCCTGCCTGGCATGGCTCAGAAGTGGCAGCAGTTGTTACACCACAGCTGGCACTGCCCATGGCTAGGGAACATGGGTCAGACTGAAAAGAGGTTGTTAAGGGCCAGGCTCTTTTCTTTCTCCATCTCCAAATAACGGAGCCGGGGCCCTGCTGGGTGTGCGGGGCTGGAGCAGCGCAGGGCACCCGGGCAGCCCCAGCCCAGGCTGCTGCTGCCATCAGGTGGCACCTCCAGCCCTGCTCTGACACTGCCAGCCCTGGAGCGTCATCCCGTCCATGCACAGGGAATGATTTTCACACCGCACTTAGAACACCGTGGGGAAAACACCTGCATGAACATTCCAGGGGATTTTGGCTGTCACTCTCTGATTGTGCATTTCCTTCATGGGAGCCAACCAGGAAGCACAGATTTGCATCCAAACGTTTCATGATCATCACTTCAATAACAGAAAATAACTAAGCAGAACACTTGGCAATCAAAAAAAAAAACCAGAAAATGTTGGAGTTGGTGACAGAAAAGGGAAACACGAGGGCACAGATATGGATAGACGCAGAGAAATATTTTCATTTCTCACGTCTCTCTGGTGGTTCTCACAAACGGAAACTGTACAAGGCAGGGAGATTTCTACAGATGAGGAAATCCTGCATAGAAACTCCATTTGCCCACAGCCGTTGGCAGCCAGTTTGAACAGGAGACAATTTCCTGTCATAACTACAAAAAGAGCTGTGTTACAGAGGGCATGGGGGCATTCCCAGGGCATTCCCTCGGTGTAAAATCCTCGTGGCTTTTGATGTCCAGAAAGCGGGATCGTTTTTATTCCATTTGGAGCTTCCTCATCACACAGGCAGCGGTGTCCTGCCCCGCTGGAAGACCAGAGTGCTGTAGGCCACTTCATTCTGAGGATGTGAGAGAAGCCACAGACATCAGAGAGTGCATGAACAGTGCGTGTCAGCAGGGATTTCCCACTTGTGACTTGTCCTCAACACCACATCCCATTAGCAGCCTGTCGTGCATGGGAAATTGCTAAATGCAATGGTTCATCCCACTGGCCAGGCTGGCTCAGGGTAAAGTCTCCTTTAGGGGCTTCCAAAGAGTTCAAATCACAGAGGAAAACTGCAGACATGCTCCCCCTTTAAAAAGATTTCTCCTAAGCTGCCTCATCAGTGGTTGAGCCCCGGAACCCCTAAAGTTGTCAAAAGGACTGCTGAATAACAGTTGAGTCTCAAACATGACTTTTCTCCCTCCCACCCCAAATTAATATTTACCACGCTATCAAGAATGTGAAATATCTGCAAGAAGCATTAAAAGGACAGTTGTGACATTTACCTGGGTGTTCCTAACAGACTCCTCAGCTGCCATCTGGGAGAAAGTTTCCTCCTGTAAATTTTGGTGGCGTCTTTTAGACCCTAGGAAGGAAAGGGATCCCAGTCTCAGGTGTTTGCAAGGGAGGCTGCAGAGGGTGACAGACAGGGGATGTGTAACCTCTGGCACACACCTGCACAGCAAAGTGGCACTTTGGGCTGCCCAGCCCCTGCCCACCTGCTGGAAGTGGCCAGGGTGAATTCAGTGCAGCCAGGATTAGGGTGAGAAAAGCCCACAGCCAACAGAAAGCCCCAGAACTCCTCAGTGGCAAAGTGAATTCTTTCCTGAAAACACCACTGGGACAATTCACGAGGAGTTACTGCCAGGGGTGAGCTGCTCACCAACACACAATCATTCAAGGCAGACATTATTTGAGCCATTTCTGCAGCCACCATCAGTCTGCTGCTATGCCCTCGAGTGTGTCACTCACTTTTCCTGAAGAGGAAGATGATTGCAAAAACCAGGACAGTCAGGAGGATGCCAGAGATGAAGGCCAGCGACATGTACAGTATTTCATAGCTGTTGATACACAGTAAATCCTGTCAGAATCCCCAGTTTCAGCAGAGGGATTGAAGCACCAGCAGTGCTCAAATGCACCAGACTTTATGGAGTGCAACATTTATCCCCAGCCCCATGAGACTAACGTGTGTCTGCACTGAGCATCTCTAGGAACACCCATCCAGTGCACAGAGCAGGCAATTCTAACCAAACTTAAACCCCCAAGATGTTAAATATGTGATATATAACCCTTCCCTTGCAGAAGGAAGCTGCAGTCTCAGGAAACTCTGGGTTTGAAATCAGGAAATAAAGGTGCAGTATTTACTTATTAATCCCACATCTGACTTCTGCAGCTCTGAAATCATCTGTAGGGGTGTGGGCAGTGGTGGGGACAGGGACAGTGGGGTAAATGGGTCCTGATGTAACTGCAATAGAAAAAAAAAAATCACAAGCTTGTTTTAGAATGTGCAAATTTCTTCAGCAGTACTACAAGCAACGAGAAGCACACGGGGGGCTGTGTCTGTGCGGCCTGTCTGAAAGTGGAACCAGCAGACAGGAAAATTCTGCTGCTCAGATGGTGACTGAGGCAGGCAGCCCTTGGCAGCCATGCAGCTCCAAGGGCTGAGCCCCCCCAGAGCAGGACACCCCCTCAGTCAGCAACACTGCAGCTAAGGACATTCCTGAAAATATAAAATACCTGAATCTTCTTTTGAGGACCAGCCTCCCATTTTCTCAGAGCATTAACTGACAGGAAGAGAAGCTGAAAGAAAGGCTGGGAGTTATATACACATACAGATAAGCAAAACAAACTTGTTATCCTCTTCTAACTCAAAAGACTTGACTTAGTTTTTATCCATTTCTTGGAAATCTTGTAGAAGTGGCACAAAGCCACTCAAACCTGGCAGTTCCTCAGCACCAGCCCCTGTGTCTTGTTCCTATACACAGAGTTCACTGCTCCCTGCCGGGCACAGCGCCTTCTCCACCCAGAAAATGGAGGATATTTAATAACTAAAAAGCACCTACAGAATTAAAACCCTATGAACATTTTCATAATCAGAAGCAGCTTTGAAAAGTTCCTCCCTTGATGTTTTTAAGTTAAATTGACTTTTCCCACCAGAACAGGAACAGTAACTTTCTCCAATTTGTGTGTGGAATCTTAGAGATAGGGATTCAAAAAGATATTCCACTACCAAACCCCTGCACGGGCATTTCTCACCACATGCTTTGCAAACTGTGGATCGTGAACAATGTGAAAATATTCCAACAATATGAAAACAAACACCCTGTTCTCTGCTGCTGCCACTTTTCCTCCTGCATCCCATTGTTGCCACATTCCAGAGGAGTCAAGCCATGAAACCTCCCAGTTTCCCACACCAAACCTCGCAGAGTGTACAAGAATAAAAGAAACAAGAAATGATACGGCTCCATCTTACCTCCCACCATGGAAGCGCTGCTGCAGAACTCCCCAAGTGTCAGCACACCACTTTAACCACTTGCTGTGTGAGAAGAATCTGTCACACCAGCTAAAAGCTCCAGTGTCAATCAGATGTGGGCTTACACAATTGTGGAAGTTAAGCAACTTCACTTTTTTATTTAAATTGACAAACAACAGGAAACCATGAAAGACACCTGCATTCTCTGGAACTGTTAGTCTAAAAAAGGAAGGCAGCTTCAGCTTAGGTTGGGCTGAAGCAAGGTTCTTGCCTCTAAAGAACACCGTTTTGGTGAACTGAGGTACTGGAAGTGTAGCAAAACTGTTTCTTAACCCCACAGAGAAATGGGATTGCAGGCAGCCCCAGTCTGCCCACTTGGGTTTATGGACTCCATAAATCACAGCACACGCAGCAGGAGTTTATTTGTGTGGGTGCTTTGCTGGGATTTTTGAGTTTTAACAAATTCCTTCAGGGAAAAGCTTCCCATAAAATGAACAGAATTATGGAAATCCAGAAAAACCCTTTTGGAACAAACGTGCCCATGTCCCATTTCAGACTGAGTACACACACACGGCCAGCTGAGGGCGTTTTTCAGGAGCCTTTGACACATTTCCTGCCCCATCTCTTTTCCCAGAACCCAGACTTTCAGCACATCACGAGGCTTTATGGTGAAAGGGAGTTTCCAGCTCCTTTGGAGAACAAGAACGTTCACCCAGAGCCCCTCCCAGTGTGGGGCAAGGTGAAAGGGAGCACAAACCATCCTGACTTTAGCACGTGTGTACATGACAGCAGGTATCTGGGGCTGCTATCACCCACAATTCTAACACGGGAATCAGATTCAGCAGCAGGATTTTCCTCTGTATCTGTGGAAGCGTTCCTGACCAAACAGGAATCCACACACTGTGGTTCCAACTCATCCCCCACCACAAACCAGCTGTAGTGGCTGCTGTGACCATCCAGCGACTTCAAACAGACAGGCAGGCACTGAAAAGACAGCAGAGGGGGTTTTTTGTCTGTTTAATGATATTTCAGAGTCATACAGTATCCAAGAGGAGGTATTGGGACATGTCAGTGGGCTCAGACTGCTCGCACAGTTGCTTGGGCACTCTTGGACAGCGCCTTCAGGTCCAGGATGCACTTGGCAATGCTTTCCTTCTGCTGCAAGAGACAGGAAACAGCCTTCAGGGACATTTCAACAAGAAAATAGACATTTAAGTGCATTTTAGATAAACCATTTTAGACCTATAAGTTACTGATCAAGAGGGACACAGTTATAGCTCATGAAGTCAGAGATTCACATCCACTAAAGCAGATTCCTGGAATCCCAGAAGGTTTGAGTTGGAAGGGACCTCAAAGCTGCTCCAGTCCCACCCCTGGCCAAGGTCACCCACCACCTCCTGAGCCAGGATCCCTGAACAGCAAACCTTTGTGCAGGCTAAAACGTAAAGCAGGTAAACCCCAGCACGTACCTGCTGAGGTGTGATGCTCTGAACGACGCTCTTCTCCACCCACTGGATCATGTGGTCCTGCTCCTTCTGCCGCTTCAGGGTCTGCAGGGCCACCTGGTAGTCCAGCCTCTTCTTCACCTCGTTGTACACGGTCAGCAGGCGCTCGCGGTAGTTGGCTTCCAGCAGCATGGCGATGTTGTTCTGCAACACAGCGGCACCGGGGGCTGGCACTGGCACGGGGCGTGCAGCACGGTGTGTGCCAGGGGCCCGGCAGGGCAGCCTGCCCTGGCACGGAGCACTGCTCACCCGTTTGGCATCGAAGAGGTAACTGTGGCCCTCGGCCCTCCACTGCTCCTTCTTCTCCTCCTCGATGGCCGTCTGCAGCGCCTGGATGGTGTCGTTCTTCATGGCCAGAGCCGAGGCCATCTTCTCCTGCAGGACAGAGAGAGAGGAGTCCATGCTTTAGAGGCAAGGAACACCAGTGTTCTGCAGTTAATGCTGCACTGAGCTGTGAGAACCTGTGTGCCAACTGCCCTGGGCCAGGGCTGAGGTTATGCCAACAGAGCAGAACGAGGGCTCACAAGCAGTCACGGAATCCCAGACTGGTTTGGGTTGGAAGGGGCTTAAATGCCATCCAATCCCACCCCTGCCATGGCAGGGACACCTCCCGCTGTCCCAGGCTGCTCCCAGCCCTGTCCAGCCTGGCTTTGGGCACTGCCAGGGATGCAGGGGCAGCCACAGCTGCTCTGGGCACC